GTCACAACAACCCCGTACATTTTCCCTCTCCATCAATAGTTTCTGCAACAACTATATGCAATCATCGATAACCATTCCCCTCCACAGCAACCACTTCACTCCCTCTGCATCTCACGTATAGGCACGTGAAAATTGACACAGATAATTTTGTATTTTCGGAACTAAAGCTGTTAGAGTGCTGAAATTTTCTGAGCATGACATACGATCGTGTCTACTGGGGATTCTTGTGAAATGCGCGGGTCATACTGAATTTGTTTCGCTAAAAGAACGATAAAAATCTGTGGGAAAAAAACGTATGCAAAAAACGCATGCTTGCACCGACATGCCTAGTGCGTGAGCTGCCGCTACTTGGGATGAATATGATGCATAGGATGCAAAAACTCAGAAAAACCTAAAAAATTTTCCATTCGGCCGAACATGAAGATTGGATTTGAAAGAAATTTTTTCGAAAAATTAGAACGAAACTTCAAAAAAACAAACAGTGCAGTACCTTGTAGTGATTTCCGCGTACGCGATTTCGCAATCCTGTTGCCAAGATCAACTGAATGGCACTGTCCATGCGTTTCATCTCAGGCCATCCAGCTGGCTTTCCAAACATCGTAAGCCAAAATCTCCGCTGCCTCAGCGCGCTAATTTCACCCGTGAAATTTTGCACCGGCAATGGCAACGGGCGTGTGGCCACTCCGGACGGGCTTTAATGCAAACCGCCACTGCAAAAGTTTTTCGTAAAACAGAAGTAATCCCTACTAACTCACAATACGTCGATTTGCCTGAAATCGAACAGAAATCCGAAGCAGTGAGGCCGTGCCGACGACATAAACGACAATGCGACTAGAGTACAGGCTGTGAGCTGAGAAAGCCAAATTTCTGCGGCTCTAAAAATGTAGTAGAAGAATGGAATTTCGGACCATACCTACCATAACGGTCGTCTCCCACTGTTTACTCGGACATCCTTACTCCAGAAATCCAATGCCTTTGAGGACCCTACTAGTTCCTAGGCGAATCAGGGACCGGGGGTGGAGGCGGGG